TAGACTATAGTTTGAGAGGGGTCTTGGTTGTTTTTAGAGAGGTCAACGACTGCTTTGGGACTCCCCTCTATATCTAACATGCAAGCCAGAAGTATAGATGCAAAGGAGGAAAATGCAGGCAGCACTCGCTTTTGCGTATAAATTTTGGTAGAAGAAATTCTGTTAGCGAAGCCTTTAGAACTCCTTGAAAACCCAGAGATACAGTAAATTTTGAAACTTTTTGATTTCAAGCTGCACTCTTTTATCTTATACAAGTGGTCTCCTTTATTACACTCTCTCATTGCTGCCAATCTTCCAAAAATTTCGACAAAAAGTGGAGATTTGGCTTACCCCCTCCAAACGATTGGCATGGTCACACAGTATTTACATTCCATATCCGGGTGATGTGGTAGACGGCAATTACGTGTCTGATAAGCGGACATGGTGCTACCGGTTTTGGCTCGGGGCCACTGGAAACTGAAGAGTCAGCGTGGGATGATGACAGTACCTGATTAGAAGAACCCAGGCGAAGACTTCTGGAGATAGTAGGGTCAGAGAGGAATTAATAGTATAGGCGAAGCCTTACAATAGAGATATGCAGTGTTGCTATAAGTATATAATTTTTATACTCGCCTAGCACGGGTTATAATAGTGCATTTTTCCTTTTTCTCATCGGGATCGCCGACTTTTCTTTTTTACTTTTTTTACTGGTCTATTTATGATGGAATTATATTTAGGATAGTTTCTTTTCTGTGGTTTTTGGTTTTAATTTTCCTTTCATTCTCCTAAATGTTTTTGGTCTTTCATAAACGTGGTATATATGATCTTGCTTATAGAAGAGTAGGAGATAGTTATTCTGCCCGGATTTTGGTGGAAAAAGTTAGAAGAAAGGTTGGTGATCCTGACGAGGTATACAACGGCCAGTCCATAATCGAGGGGGGTATTCTTTGGGATACGAAATCATGAGTAAGTTTATGATCCCTGAGTAGACAAACAGTTGGTATAGCAGGTCGCATTGGGCATTTTTGCTTGGTGAGTCTTTATTACGTTAGAGCAATAAGTTGTAAGAATTTTGTATACATGGGTGTAAAAATTATATAACAGTTCACATGAATAAAGGCAGGATCGCTTAAAAAAAATAAATAAATAAAAGAACTAGTGTTTATAGTTAAAAAAAAAAAAGTAAAAATTTAAGATAAGATTTTAAATTGTAATTTTTTGCATATTTTTAATATAAAAGGTATAAAAATAAGTTGTTTATTGTGTAGAGAAGGTATGAATTCATATAGTATTGTGAAGAAAGATTTTAAAAATCTTAGAAAGTAAGCGAGATATTTAAAAAATTTGTAAATTGCCAATAAATTTTTCAAAAAACTGGTAAGTTTTCCAGAATTTTGTGAGAGATTTTCAGATTTTTTAATAGGTATTTAAAATAAAAAAGTGAATTTTCTGGGCAAGCCAGTAAAATTTCCGAAATTGACCAATAGAATTTTAGAAGAGAGTTTAAAGAAATTTTTCAATAACTTTGTAAGTTTTGGTTCATTTTTGATAAAATTTATATTAAAATGTTCGTTTCGATGAGCTGGATATATCTAGCTTAAAAGACTATAAGCTTTATTTGTTAGTTATTGCGAAAATTAAGATGTACGTTTTAAAAAAGAATATAAAAAATTTTTTGTAAAGAGATTTAATTTTTTGTTAACAGTATACCATCTAGGAGCAAAAAATTGAGTAGAACAAGTTTGTTTAGAAGTTGGAATTAGATTTACTTAGTAAAATTTTAAGAAATTAAAAAAAAAATTATAAAGAATACTAATTTTAAAAAATTGTAAAATAGTTTTGTATAAAATTAAAAATATAGATAAATTTATATTGTCTAGGGGCAAAATTTTAAGTAGAAAAAGTTTATTTAGAAGCTGAAAGTAGGTTAACTTAGTAAAATTTTTAAAAAAATTAATTTGTTTGTTTAAAGAAGTTGGTTTTAAAGATCTACGGGAAGAGTTAGACTTTGCTTGTCTATTAAGAAATATATCTTTATACATATAGAAGTGTTTATAAGACTAAAGACTTTAAATTATTACTAATATTAGAGTCTATTATTAAATGATAGAAGAGATATCTTATTCACAGAAATCTGTTAAACTATGTAATATGTTTGATCTTAATAAATTAATATATTGATATACATAAATATATCATAATGCAAATAACAAAAATTTATTTAATGTTAAGCAAAAAATATATATATGATAATGTTTTTATTTAAGCAAATAAATGTTTTTAAGCTATAATTAAATAGCAATAATAAAAGATTATCTATTTTAAAATATTTTGTTCCATCTAGCTTTTCATACAAAGCAAAGTACGAGCTGTTTCAAAAAGAAGATGATTTCTTATTTTTGTTATTGTTCTTGCTGCTACTGAGAATGACTCTTTACAAGAAACACTAGTTCTTTGAATAGCTAAATAATTACAAGCTATTTTTGCTAAAGTAGGAAACTGATATCTATTTAATGCCCACCAGTTAAAAGGATCTTTAGAACACGGAGGTGAAGATAAGTATAAATTTAATTCTTCTAGTGGTTCGTCTATTTGCTGATCTAATAAAAATTTAAAAAGCTCTTTTTTTTTGTTTTTATAAGAAAAATAGTAGTATTCATAGCAGAATTTTGTGGCATATATTTAACCATTAAATTGTATAAACTTGCAATAGCCTTATCTCTTTTTTCACTATATGCAAATGTTGTAAGTTTTGAAGATGGATCAAGAATTGCTGCAATAGTAATAGATTTATCAAGAAGTACCCAATATTCATTTAGTTTATATCATATAGAATCAGCAATTATACATTTTTCCAAATGCAATTCATCATCAATAAATTTATCAAGATATTGAAAAATACATCCAAAGCACAAACAAACATCAGATATCGTTGGGTAAGTACTAGATAAAAGTAGCTTAGTTGCTTAGTTACTTGAAGTATAGGATAAAGAAGACTAATAATAATATCAATATTTTTCCACTCATTCTTATTAAGAAACATAGATTCAAGTTGGTGCTTAGTTACAAGAAGATCAAGTTCAACACGCATTAACTTAAAACGATATAGTATATCATAAGTGCTATTCCATCGAGTAACTACATCAATTTTTGGTGTAATATATTGCTTTTTATTCATTGTACAAAAATGCCAAAGATTATCATATAAAATCATAGAGTGATGAACCTTGGATACAAAAGTTCTAACTTTCTCTATAAACTCTAACCCTAAATCCTAATCAAAATCCAAAAAAAAAGTATAAAAAAATATATACTAAAAATTTTAAAAATCGTATATTAAATAGGGTTTGATTTTACGATCATCTGATTTTACCATCATCCGTGACATTATATAATAATTGAAAATAGCTTTTATTATTTTTATTATATAATGGATTATGCTGAAATTACTAACTTAACCAAATTGGCCAAACAATCATTTAACTAATTTTTATTAGATATTTTAGGAATCATGATAATAGCTATAAAAAATATTTTTTTTACTATCCTGAATCTTGACCCATTTGACCTAGGTCAGAGCAATTTCTGACCCGTAACCCATATAGGTCACCCGACCTGGGCTGGAACACTATTTACAAGACATATTTAATATATAGAATAATACAAATAAATGTGAATTTCGACATTATAATAGCTTACTTCTTTTTAACTATTTAGTTTGTTTTCTGTGATGTTTTTCGAGAATGCTCTTCATTTCAAATTGATCAATATTTGGAGACCCCCCCACAGCAAAAAGTAGCATTGGGCCAAAAAAAATTTTTTTAAAAAAAATGCAATTTCTCAAAGAATTAAAGTAATTGGCATATAATTTTTATAAAATTACAGAATCAAAATTTTTGGCCCAATGCATCTTTTTGCTGTAGGGGTTCTCATTTTCTTTCTAAATATTTGTTGACTACATGAAATTTGGTAAAATAGATAAGACGCTAACTTGTCTTCTGATGGAGATTCATATTTCGTATCTTTCTTGAAATATTCAATATTAGCAAGAAGTTGGCTATTACTGTTAATATTACTAATAGTAAGTTGGAAATTTTTTAATAGATATAATATGGGGTGGAGTCAATAGAAAAGGGACAAATTTTTTTTAAGTAAACATTTTCTTGACTTTAAGCTTAAATATCTCAGCAATTATTTTATTAAATTTAATAATTATTTTTTTTATTTTAATTTTTTATAATTTCAAAATTAAAATAAAAAAATTTTAAGCAAATTTGGTTAATTAGTTGTTGAAATATTTAATTTAAAAATTAAAAAAATTTTACTAAAAATGATTTGTTCTTTTTCTATTGACTCTACCCCATATGCTTATTAGATTTTCATTGATACATAGGTATTAATTAAATTCTGAATTGGTATCAATTAAATTTAAAATATCAACCTATTTTTAATATCACTTTTAGATGATCGAATATTGCTTTTTTCACATTTGGTTATTATAACTTCAACTTGTAATCATAAGTGATGAAAGTTTTTAGTGAAGTGACATAAGTAGATTTGATATATTTTATTTTTTTTTGTTTTGCTAAATTTAATTTGATGGTTTCTTGCATGTAATTAATTAAATAAAGCTTACAATATAAAATGCATACTTATAACAAATACTGTATTGCTTTTATAAAATAAATTAACAAAAAACTTACTTTTTTAATAAATTCCATATTATACACAGGTCGAAAGATAAAAAATCAGGCACAAATCAGATACCTGATTTTAAACTGATTACTACCTAATTACCACCTGATTTATACATATTTTTGTACCAAAAATTTGGTACAAAAATATGCATAAATTAGGTGGTAATCAGGTAGTAATCAGTTTAAAATCAGGTATCTGATTTGTGCCTGATTTTTTATCTTTTGACCTGTGATAGCAAAGTGTATTTTTAAAAATTAGCACAGAATCGCCAGCCTTAATTGATGTGTAGTTTGACTATCAGTCATTATTACATGTGTGCTATACAGCTACTATAAGTACAAGCTTTCACTTGATTTTACCGATATCATTTTTTGTAATTATTAAATAAATTATTTTTAAGAATAATATGTTAATCTCCAATGAATAAAGCGCAAGTATTATTTTAATTCTGAAGCTATAAAAAGTTATTGTGTAAGATACGATGAGTTAAATTTTTAAAATAATTAATTAAAAATATAGAGAATGATTGAATTAGAGTAATAGTTAAGTAATAATTAAGTAATAATTAAGTAATTATTAAGTAATAAGCTAATATTATTAGTCGAGTTAAATAAATAACTAGAAATAAAAATGAATAAAATTAGTAAAATGAATAAAAATTCTCTAATCGATAAAATAAATAACTGAGTTAAATAAATAGTCAATTTTTAAAAGTCAAAATAAATTTAAAAAAAAAGTATAAAAAGTCGCAATTCAAAAAAAAAATAAAATGAAATATTATACCGGTACGATGCTTGATACTGAGGATCTAATCCATCTAATATAGAATTAGATATTAATGAAGAAATTTCTGAATCTACAAGCTCAATTACAATATTACTCCAAACAACTAGTAACAAAGCTAATAATAAACCATCACCTGTGTAGAAATTTATGTATAAGAAAGTAAAGCCAGATAGAACTACTATTGTTGTATGTGACTATAATGACTGTTAACAAGAATATAGTTTTAAAACATCAATAGATTTTTTTTTTTTTTGAATTAAGGAGACCTCTTTGGTCTGAAAGCTTTTATTAGGATTTGAAACGGTGTTTTATACGCAATTACAACAATGGTACATCAAGCCATACGTGCACCTTTTGAGTGCCTAATTTAAGTAGTCCGCCCGAAGGTTCTACACTATCTGCCGTATCTGCACCCCAACT